TCCTGACTTAAATCACTGGCCTTGGCCTTGAAGTCTATTGTTCCCTCACTTGTCATGATAATTTTGATTTCGGATTGGAATACCTTGCTTGTTACTGGTTAAACACTTTCTTTGTTGATCTCATCACAGAGAATACCTTTGACCTGTTCACCCAACACCCTCTATCTGTTACACTGTTCACGAATTGAAATATACCAAACCTTTGTATTTCTCAGACCCCAAAGCATGTTGATTGTTACCAACTCAGTGTGCTTGTTGTTCTTTCCTGACTTATGACATTGATGTACTGGCCAGATCCTGTTTTGTGCAAATGGAAAGCTGGTGGCTAATTTTGAAGTCATTTTTCACTTATTTTGACCAAACCGACTCAGGAAGAAGAAGTAAGCAAGACAAAAGGAACAGAGTAAAGGACAAAGGAAATAGATGATTCCTAACAAGAAAACTACAAAGTAGAAACCTATCAGATGTGGATACCAACTCTAATGACCATGACATGCACATGTTGATTAAGTGGCCTAATCTGTCAAACAAATCTGATGTCCAACTCTTGTTATTACCCTGAACCATGAAATTGGACTTCAATGCTCCGATTTTACAATCTGATTCACAATCCTTATTCGACTTGCAGTGCCCGAAGGGTTTTCACAATCAAGCCTCTCTCATTTTGTTCTTTCTCTCAACTTACCGTCGCCTTACGGTGCCCGCGAGGGTTTTCACCAATAAGACTCTCTCATTTTTGGATTTCTCTCAGCTCTCGTGTCCCTATGGTGCCCATGAGGGTTTTCACCAATAAGACTCTCTCATTTTCATTATTTTTCTGCTTGGACCAGAGTGTTGCCCCTGCTATGAATTTCCGCACCTTGCTTGACTTGGCATTCCTCGAAAACTGATCGGAAGGTCTTTCTTTGGACCGTAATGTGGGCTTTTGGATAGGGTTAAAAAGAAAGGATATCAAAGGCTCAAAACTATTCATCATAGGTTCAAAATTACAACTTTCGGAACCAGATTCCTTACAACAACCACAATTTATGCCCTAGTTTCTTTGCTTGGGGACTTTTGAATTTTTATTTTGATGGCACCGAACCGTGAGGCTGCCTACGTATCCTTAAAAGGAATCACGCCAAACGTAGTTCATGACATAGGAATTGCTTTGTTTTTGTACCTTTCTCTCTCTCTTTTTTTTCTTCTTTTTCTCTTTCTTTTCTTTTCTTTTATTTTCTTTACTCTTTTTCTCTTTTGTTGTTTTGTTGTTGTTTTTCTTTCTTCTTTTTCCTCTTTTTTCTTCTTTTTTTTTTAATTTTCATCTTTTCTTTTCTCTCTTTTCCTTTACTTATCTTTCGAGCTTGCGTTTCTGATCGTTGCTATTGATTCCAAAAGAGGAATACAAAAGGAAGTAAGTAAGGCTCAAAGGGGGTAACAAAGGATAAAGTGTTTAGATATCAGAACAAAATGCCTTCGTCATTCCATTCTTCAAAGCATGTTGGATGCAAATGGCACAATTAAACAAACCAAAGAAATCACACATAATATCTTTTGACTACATCGGAATTGATAGTCATATCCACACATTTGCCTTCTACATCTGTTAAGTACAAAGCACCATTGGACAACACTCTCACTCTCATTACCATGAACGACTCCTGTCAATTTGGGCAAACTTGCCTTTAGCTTCAATCCGATGCGGCATGATACATTTCAATAAGGTTTCTTTATGTTCTATCTGCCCCAGTTTCACAATTCGGGCTTGGAGTGATTTGAGAATGCCTTTATTATTATTATTATTATTTTCTCAAAGATCCCTATCATCTTCAAAATTGTTTCATTGCTTCATGACTAAACTAACTTTTTAAGACCAGACTGAGAATTACGCGTGCATGTCATGTCACTAGAGTCAACAGGAAAAGGACTATAAAAGGAAAAGAGAACTAAACAACATGACTAAAAATAATAGAAAACAGGAAATTGCATTAGACATATGGTGAAAGGGTTTAGACAACAAAACAAACAAACTAAACTGGGGCTAGAAACCTAGAACAAACCTAGACAACACTAAACAGGCTACTAGACTAAACAAACTAGGCAAAATAAGAGGATAGAAGGGTTTGAGTCACAAGACAATATCTGTATTACAACCCTGAAATAACCCGGACAACAGAAATGACAACAAAATAAACCACCAAAACTCCTCCCTGGCTAACCAAGATAGGAGCGTCTTTCCAATTTCCAAGCTCGGCATCTTAGCCACTGAATTCTGCATCAACATTACTAGGACCTTCACAAACTTCCATCACATTGTTCTTAAAAATTGCTTTTGGGTTCCCTTTGTTGGCTCGTTCTTAAGATCAACCTCTAATAGCACTGAAAACTTTGCAGCGCGTGGGCCTTCGAGGATCTCAGAAGAATTTTCATATTCCTTTTTGAAACAAATCATACTCACCATATGCGTCTCAGGCGATGGGCTTTGGCTGGTGTCCGCTGCATCTGGATTGTGCACGACAATGTCACCTGTATCAATAAGCTTCTGAATTGCTTTCTTCAGATTCCAACACTTCTCTATGTCATGCCCCGGGGCATCTGAGCAATATGCGCACCTTTGAGAAAAATCAAACTTCTTTGGAAGAGGGTTTGGCATTTTTATCTGGATCGGTTTCAATATGTCCAATTGCTTCAACCTTTGAAACAAACTGGCGTATGACACTCCCAATGGGGTGAAAGCCTTTTCTTTTTTTAGAAACCTCTCATTCTTAAATGCTTGATTGGGCCGGAAACCTGATACAGGGGGTTTTTGGCAGGCTCGTAGGGGCGGGTAAGACAATTGGGGAAATGGTGTGGGCCATCGCAGGCCTTGTGGGTGTGGAGCATATGGTGATGCATTTTGGACAGGGTACTAGGAAAGTGATGTACGATTTTGGGAGTTCTGTGGGGAGAAGCAGAATTGGGGAGGATTACAAGCATATCCACGAGGTCGACATTAAGGCTGGAAGCGTTTAGGAAGAGCGACCATTGGACCCTGTCGTCGGCGGGGCTCGCCAATATCTTTTCTATCAATGGGAGGACTATCCCGAGCAATTTGTTCGTTCCATCTGAGCCAAAAATCCCTAAAACTTTTCTTGGGTTTCTTTTCCATTTGAGATAGGGAGGAGTGGTCTGGGACAACACCTGATCTGTATTGAAAGTATCGAATAAAATCTTGAGCCATGCCACCTAATATAGTCCACTTACCAACATCTTGACGATTATGCCATTCCAAAGATGCCCCAGTCAGGCTCTCACTGAAGTACGCCATCAACAAATCATCTTTCTCGCCAACACTTCTCATTTTACTGCAATAATCCCTCAAATGGACTACCGGATCCCCACACCCATCATATAAGTCAAACTTTGGCACTTTAAACCTCGGAGGCAGATGAATGTCGGGGGACATAGACAATTCTTTGTAAGACATGCTACCTTGGTCTCCCGTTCCTTGCTTGTTCTTTAGGGACTATTCTATGCCTTTCAGCCTCCTGGGTATCTCGTCTCGCCGTTCTCTTCATGTGAACATTTTATTTTCAATATGAGGCTCATCCTGCGGGCCCTGCTTGTATGAGTTGGGAACCTTGTGGGCAATCTCTGAGGGGTAATATCGGGCATCGTGAGCTTTGACTGGGTGTTCATTATCAGGGATAGTGGATGTGATAGGAGGGCGATTTTGGGGAGAGGTAATTGGAGGATGAGTGATGGAGCTACTAAGACGGTTGGGAAAGTTGTGATAAGCGGGTAGATCTGGAGAGTATGGAGGATCATCTGGCATTGTGTTTGGAGCTTGGGTAAGGACGACATCTAGGAGGCTAGGTGGTGGCGCGGGTGGTACCTTCCCAGTCATCCAAGCCTGATACATGTTAGCCATGTGTTGTTTTAATATCTTTACCTCTTCAACCAACCCAATGTTCTGTTCAACCAACTGCTTTCGAGCGCCGGTATCAACCAACTCAGTTCCGTTGTCGCCTACCATTGCCTTTTGACCTTATATTGTAGAGAAGAGTAACACTTTAAACCACAAACCAACCAACCTTCTGCTATGAATATAACAAAATGAAGCCATCACGTTAGCGTTAGGGAATTTAACATAAGATAATCTCACTTTATGTGCAATGCACCTAGCCACAGTTATCAGTTCTAAAATGACTTCGAGAGTATAAAGGTCAGTTGGCATCATCCCAATTTGTTCAATTCAACCTCTCTTTTCTTTGTTTTTCTGGTACTTGCTGGCTTGCCTATTTTCCTTAATTTCTTTTCTCTTTTTTTTTCATCACTCTTTCTTTCTCTCATATCTCACATCCCACAATTTCACCTCTTTTTTTCGTTTCCTTTTTTGTCTTTTTTTCTCGTTTTTTCTTTTCTTTTAATAATAAATAAAAAATGATTCGATCAAACCCTATGTGGGTTGCCTACGTATCATGACGCTGTATGAATCAGATCTTTGCGTAGTTCGGGAAGATCGGGAATAAAGTAAACAAACTAACGCTTCCATTTTTCTTTTCTTTTCTTTCTTTTTGTTTCTTTTCTTTTGTAAAATAGGTACTCTATGAGAAATTATCAAGGAAAAACCCTAAAAGAGAAAAACATTTTTTGGTTCTTTTTTTTCTTTTGAAGGAAATCTAAGGAATAAACCACAGAAAGACATTTTGAATCCTCATTTGATATCCTGACGCAAGATCTCGAAGCAAGCAATGAAAAAGATACAACAGAATATTTTTGGATTTCAATTTTGATTGCCTAGAGGAAAAATTCCAATGATAAACAAAAGATAAAGTATTTTTTTTATGTACAATATCCTAAAGTTCTAATGAAAATAAAAGATTTTTTTTCATTTTTCACTAATTTCCCGAAGAAACGCCTCAAAAGAAATTTTTTTTGGAATTTAGAATTAACACCTTAAAGAAAGCTTTTAAAGAAGTACTAAAAGAAATTTTTTCCCATTTCAAGAATTAGTATTCTAAAGAAAATTTATAACGAAATATAAAATGCAACATCTCTTTTTTTTGGATTTTTACTTGTAACACATTTCCAAATGCAAAATAAGGAATACAGTAACAAAAGACTATACAAACTTAACTAGACAATACAAACTCTAACATCACCTAAAAGACTAAATACTACTATACAAGACTAGAAAAATAAAACAAAAATAATTGACTCAAAAACATAAATGGCTCCTCGAGCAGCTCCTGAATGCAGTGATTCTGGGGTATCTGTCATGTTCAAACTTCGGTAAATAAATCCACACCTGTATGAGAAAACTTTAAATCAACACTATGTGAGACAATAACACTCCCTACTGGACACATGGAAGACATGGTTGAGGCTATTTTGCAAACTAACTTATTTGGCCAAAAGGTGGCTAGAAGTGCAAAATTTGGCTATGACCCTGCAAAGCCAAAAACCTAAGATTTACTAGGAAAACCGGACCCTATGTGGGTTGCCTACTTATCGCGTCCCAAAAGACGAGAATCAGGTATGCGTAGTTCGGGCAGATTGAATACAGGCGAGAATAATAAAAAAACAACTAACATATAGAAAACACACCTTTTCTCTTCTTCTTTTTTCGAAAAATGATGAAACATATAAAATCTTTTTGGATTTTTTTCCCGATGTTTTCTTTTATTTTTGAAAAATGATAAAGAGTGCAAAATCTTTTTGAAGTTTCCATGCTCTTTTTTTCTTAATAAAATGTAACAAAAATATAATTGGGCCCTACTCGCTTCATCCTCACACTTCAACCTCTCTCTTTTTCTTTTGTTTTTTCTTATTTCTTTTCTCATTGTTTTTTTTCATTTCTTCATTTACCCTCAGTTATCATTGGTCTGCCAAATGACCCTTTTACCCTTGAATAAATGCAACATATAGCACATAAGATGCATCACGATGGTCCTTTATTTTTTGGGGTATACCTGTCCTAGACGGACCCAACCCCTATGTTAAGTCCCCAAAGTCAAATGCACATGATGCAAACAAACGTGCCTACTAGGGATCCGGTATGAGGCTGAGTTATTCTAGGTTCAAAACCTAGGTTTATTGTTTTAGACCTGGCCTACCCGAGCAGACAGCTCGAGCCGAGGGGCGGCAGCGTACCGGGAATACAGAAGCTTCACCGGCTTTACAACTTGTCCGAACCCCGTTCTAAATTTGGAATATGACTCTAACAGAAAAGAAATCACACGAAGTGCACACTTCTCCATGATTTAGAAGACTCAGAGAGAATGGGGATTTCGCAACAGTTTATATACAATTCACGGAATATCAAAGTGGTAAAAGCAATCAATTAGCACATTAAGCCCAAATCATGTAACAAAATCAAATAATGGATAAAGCCAACTATAACAATTATTCTAAGCTCGAATTCATGAACCCTGAACTAGAGATTCTGGGTTCTGTCCCCAGCAGAGTCGTCAGAGCTGTCACACCTCCTTTTTTCCCTACACCCCGGAAGGGGTATATCAAGAAGTTTTTCCAATTAAAGGACAATCGAAACGGGATTTATTATTAAAAGATTCAGAGTCGCCACTTGGGAGATGTATGGTGTACCAAGTCACCGGTTGAATCCCGAATCGAGGAAAAACTTGACTCTGTTTAACAGTCCGCGAACCAGAAATCCGGGTAAGGAATTCTGTTAACCCAGGAGAAGGTGTTAGGCATTCCCAAGTTCCGTGGTTCTAGCACGGTCGCTCAACTGTTATATTCGGCTTAATTATCTGATTTTAAACAATTATAAACCTATGTGCAAATTTAAACTTTAACCGCTTTTATTCATTTTTAGAGAAAATTGCAACGTTATTAAAACATGTCTCAAACCACGTCACATAAATGCACCCGTGGTCTTTGATATATTTTAACATCGTTGAGATTTGGATTTGGGTCACATAAATGCGCACCCGAGTTTAGGTAAGTAATTTTTAAAATAGCGCGCCTAAACCAGCTATACGCTTTCAAGTTTGCGAAGGCCATGGAAAATTCAACTAATGGCACACCCCGATTCTAACTTCAAAGGATTGTACTCAACTAAAGCAAACTACGGATCTTCATAATTATTAATGGCCTAGGTATGCTACTAACAGACCAATTAAACAAAATAAAACACAAGTAACAAGAATATTTCTTTTTGTTGTCTTTTAATTTATAAATTTCAACCCAAATCTAACTTTTAAATCTCAATCCACATTAACAAATGCTATTCAGTTGTTTTAAAAAAAATCCAGATTATCCAACTATATCAATTCCTAACATATCTTTTGACACCAATTGCTCAATTAAACATCATGTTCATAACATTGAAAGAGGGTAGACCAACTAGTGAATTAAGGCAAGACAAAAAACCATGATGATTTCTAAAAGAACTATTAACATAATACAAACAGTGAAGGAAACGTATGAGAACACATCAACATGAAAAGCATCCTTTTATTGAAATAGCTGAGGCATCAAAGTGCACGCATTAAACAAGAAGCAAGATAAAAGAATTCACCTCAAAGGCCTGAATCTTTAAAGGTTCTTTAACTGGACAACCAACCGGAAACCAGGGCCTCAACCGGATTGAAATTCATCACTCGATTGCAACTGGAATTCGAAGGAAAAAGAGTTCACGACATGTTTTTTGGAAACAGATGAATCGATGGAGTGGGGTCATTTTTTGCGGCTGATTGAAGAAGCAGCTGGTGGAGAATTCTTTTGGTCTCTACCCTTAGCTCCAAGATGAAAACGGCACTGATTGGATCCCTATAGATCTAGATCTTAGAGTTTAGGGTCCATGAAAAAGATGAAGACCTTCAACCTTTCATTTTTGTAAAAAACAAACGCTCTTTAGCTCTTTCTCTAAATCTGTTTTCGCCCCAGCTCCATGGAAAAACGGCGGATCCCAAAAAATGTGTCGGGGGTCAATATTTAGGTATTAGGTGCTATTATATAGGGGTAGGGATTAGGTTAGGGGTGTGAGCCTAGGAATTATGGGCTAGGGAATTGGGCTAGGTCCAAAATTAGGCCTAAAGATGGGTTACTCGAGTCCAAGCTCTATTCTTTTGTTGTGAACGAGATTAAAAATACGGGCCCATTTATTAATTATTCCTACTATTAAAATAATTATTAAAATAAAACTAACCATTAAAACAAATCTATTTTTGGTATTTTCAAATATCATATTAAAATAAAAATACGATACTACTGTTGTATATATATTTTTTAAGATTTTTGTTTTAAAAAAAATGACTACAAAACTTTAATGAACTTATTTTTGTGATTTTTTTGTTTTTCTTGTAATAAAATAAAGTAGAAGAGTCAAAATTACTTAAAATATCTATATTATGCCTAAATTAAATGTTTACGCGCTAAAATATGAAAAATCTTGGGGAGGGTCAAAAATCACATGTCAACAGTTACCAAGATAAATCTTTTCTGATGTGGAAGATCAGACTAAGCTGCAACCACAGAGCATACTTAGATAGTACCTTGGCTCTGATACCAATTGTTGTGGAAGCCAAATGTATATAGTGTGAATGAGTCACAACTACTATACCAAAAATAATGGCAGCCACCAAATAATAAATAAGATAATAAAGCAACAATAAAAAGAACACTAGAATTTACGAGGTTCGGCCAATATTGCCTACTTCCTCGGACACAACCAATATTTTATTCCACTCCAAAAATACAAGTGAAATAATACTAAAAGAGAGAAGATACAAATGCCTTAAGAAGATAAGAAAGCAAATGAGAGGTGTGTTTGCACTAAATATGTGTTTTATGTCTTGTATGAGTAATTCCGAACTATGTAGGCGTTATGGAATGAATTCAAGTGATTTGGATCTTTGAAGTCTGAGTAAAAGCCCAAGACATTAAGCCGAGATCGTGTTCGGAGGTCGTGTACCAAGTCCGGATTTTAAAAGAGGACGAAATAAGTTCACTCTGAGAAAATTACACTGCTGCGCCGCATGGGACGCCGCAAGGCGCGGCGCAGTAGTGTAAAATGCTGCCTGATACGAAACGTTGAGGCTACTGATAAACTCCATTAGCGCGCCGCATGGTGCGACGCATGGTGCTCCGCGACTGTACAAAATTTATAGAGCTAGAGTCCTATTTCGCGCAGGAGAAGGTGTTTTCGTCTTGGCCCGACCCTACTTGGTATATATACATGGAAAAATGTTATTTTGGAGATCGAACAGACTTTTGACAGATCTTAGACCTAGGGACACTCTTTAGATGTGGAGGAAGATAAACCACGCTTGGAGGAGGCTTCTAACTAGTTTTTCTTCTCTTCTCTTCTCTTCTCTTCTTTTAGTTTCATAGTTTATTAGTTCTAGAGTTTTGGGTGCTACATGAACTTTGTAGTTTGAAGCTTAGATAGTTCTTATTATTTTATCATATTGGTTTATTTATTCAATTTTGCGCTTAATTATTTGATTGCTTGATCACCAATTGAATACTATCTACGAATCTAGGATTGAACTCGGGAGAGGGAATTCTAGATTGCATATAAGATTGAGTAGAGCAAGATCTTAACTCTTAGGGAGGGCGGATTGCGGTTAGGATAGGAATATACTTAATCGCCTTGCTTGGTTACTATACAGGAATTATTAATGCGTTCTTGTTAATTCTAATTTCATGGGAATATAGGCATTAGGTTAGCTTGAATAGGCGAGTTTTACTTCGGGAGAAGGCTACGAGCAATATTAACCCTGTCAACCAATAAACCAGATAAATTAATTAGACGATTTATGTGAAAAACTCAACGGGATTGTTAGCTAACCCATAACTCTGAATATTCACCCACATTAAATTCGTCGTTAAGCTTGTCGTTGTTTTTTTTATCTCTTAATTTGTTACTTTAGATTAATTTTAGTAAAATATTCACACTTTAATATTCGCTTGAATAGATTAATTGTTTGGTTTAATTTAGTTGATAGTTAATCACAAGTCCCTGTGGGTACGATATCTATACTTACAATCCTATATTACTTTTCAACCACGTATACTTGCGTGTGCGTTTGGGAGCAACAAGTTTTTGGCGCTGTTGCCGGGGACTTAGAAATTAACTAGACTGCGAGATTAGATTTTTACTCTTTGTCTATTCAAGTTTTTTTTTTAATTTTTATCTTAGGTTAATATTTACTATCTTTGCTAGCATGGCATCTTGGAATGATAATTGGTCGAATATTGGTTATTCTTATTATGTTGATCCTTGTCCATATTGTGGAGGACCTCACTGGTGGAAAAATTATCAGAATGTTCCTGGGAGCGAGTTGTGCGCACAATATCAATTATTTGAGTGGAATATTTGTAATATATGTGGTGGTCAAGATGGCCATTGGGATAGTTGTCCTAATTCTTGTTATCCTTCTCAGAGTTCTTATTATAATGTTTCTAATAATGTTTATGAGTTTAATAGGAGCAATGAAGTGGAAGATATGGAAAGCATGGCTCGTATGATGGATATGATAAGTCAAATAGCCGAGCAACATGATGAAATTCAAAAGGCTATACAAAGAATTAGTGAAGCAATTATGAGAATGATGGCCGAGGCGGAGGAAGTGGCTGAAGAAAGAGAGTTCCCGCCAGAAGTTAATTTTGAAGAAGCAGATATAATGAGCGAATCTTGGCTAGAGGAACAAGCTCAATCGATAAAATCTCATGAGTTTCTCCATGATGGTCTTTCAAATATGACAGAACAACTTATAGAAGGAAGAACTGAGCTCAGGCAAAAGATAGACAAATTTGGCTCAGATATCCATGACATGTAGGCTCAATTGAACAAAAAGGTTGAGGGGTCTGATGCCCTACAACAAATTGTTGTGGATACTGGTCAACTTATGGAGCAAAAAGAGGAATCCCAACTATTCGACCAAATTATTCATGATACCAAGGTTGACGAAGAGTGCAAAATTGAGGATGTCAAAAATAATGCAATTTTGGAGTTGGAGCGTATTGGACCTCATTATAAACACTTTTCAACATTGTGTTTAGTTGGTGACATGGAAATTGATCCATTCGAGCATATGGAGGAGCCAATAGATGAGGAACAAAGTGTTTATATTCTGAAATTTGTGATACCAAAAAGACAAAACGACATCCCTCACTTAAAAGCCAAGAAGTGCAAGATGTGATATCTATTGCTTGGTTCCTTTATTTTCACACCACCGCCTCATGAACGTGACAGAAAAATTGATGTGAAATTGGGAGCACAATTCATATCATCAAAGTGGAAGCAAAAGTGGTGAAAGTGATGGCGTCGTACCGCGACGTTAAATCAAGTGCTTGTTGGGAGGCAACCCAATTCTATTTTTTCCTTTTTCTTTTATTTATTTTTTAATTTATTGTGTTGATTTTTTTTGTAGTATTAGTTTTTGTTTTGTAGGAGTAGAAGCAGGAGGCAAAGCCAATAGGCATGTGCAAAAGCGAGCAGGTGTTTGAAACTAAGTGTGAGATACCCGCACAAGGAATCATACGTGGGAGAAGTCTGAGTATCCTGTGGGCTATTAATACTTCGGCCTTTGGCCTACTAGGGAGTCTATTTTACCCTCTTGTTATTTTCAGTGTGTATTGAGGACATTGCACAATTTTAAGTGTGGGGTGAGGAGATTGTTTGGGTGATTTTTTGTGCTATTTTAGCTTAATTGTAGTAGGAGTTTTTGTCAAAAAACAAATTGGACTTTTCCCGACGATAGATTTCCATTAACAGTTTTCTTGAGGGATTTAAGTCTAAAGAAAAAGAAAAAAAAGAATTTCTTTGTAGGTAGTATAACAATTTCCCCTTGGTTTTTCTTTGTGCCGCATTTCTTTTCCAAGGGTTTTGTTTGAACCGGGTATAGTTAGTTTTTATTTTTTAGAAATAGGAAGTCTTGTGCTATGTTTTGGATTGAAGCAATCTCTTTTAACCTTGTCATGCCTTGAGAATAGTGAGTACTGTGATTGTGACGCTTAGTCTCAGTTTTTGACTCTTATATAAGTACCTTAAATTGTATGATCTTAACTTTGCTTAACTTCTTTGACTAGAGTGTCTTGATGAGTCCAATCCTGAGTGAGTTATGTTCCATGTGTGTGTAAGGTTTTGTATTATTCTGTGCATTGCATTTGATGCCTAGAACTTGCTCTGTGTGTTTGCAAAGCGAAATAGTAGTTTTGTTCAGTCTTGGAAGTGATATAGGCGTTTCTTTGTTGAGCCATATATATATTTTACCTGCCTAATTGTTATGTATCATAGTTAACCCTTTTGAGCCTGTAATCCTGTTTCTTTGGCAACCAAATTACAAGCCTTACCTATTCGTTTGAATTAACCATGTATTTGAACCTTTTCACCTCTCATGAGCACTTGAATTGTTATGAACTTTGTAAAAGTTAAAGTGTAGGTAGTTGGTTTCGCTTTTGAGTGGAACTAATGAAATAAGGAGAAAGGTGCACTATTTTGAAAAAGTAAGAGCCACATGAATTGGAAAAAAAATTAGTTGTATTGTTGTGAAAAATAATTCTAGATGGTGGTGGCTAGTGATATACTTGTGCTTAAAGAAGTGGGGAGTTAATCTATGTTGATGTGAAGGTGGAGTTATGGTTTGACATAAGTGTGGGGTTTTCAACGTTAAAGTGTATGTATTAAAGTGCTTAGGGAGGTATAGTCACTCTTATATCTAAATATATCCTACCTGTCCCGCAGCCTACATTACAACCAAATAAAGTCCTACTTGATCCTAAACTGAATGAGCCTGATTAGTAGAGTAATACACTACGGGCAAGCCTATGGTGCATCTTTTGTGGCATATGAAAGTTATTTCTGAGAGTGAGTGAATTCTTTCTATCTTGAGTTCCTAATTGTTCTTAAATTTTAGTGTATGGAACTACTCTTTTTTGTTGTGTGAGAGCACTTGATTCATGAAGGAAAGGTGATGTCATTTACCTCTAGGTT